AGTGCGTTGATTTCTCTCGTAAGCTTTTGTCAGGTGTTTCTCGATGTTTGAGCGAATCTTCTGAAATTCGTCAGTCTCCTTTGCTGGAGACAAAGGGTAAAATCTTTGCTTAACTGGCTTGCTGTTAGCCGTATCAATGTGGTGCTCTATTAGGGTCGTTAACCCCAGTCCATTCTTTTCGAATGACGGAAACAATTCGATCACGTGCTGTAACTGCTTCTTTTGAGAAATCGACATGGCTAACTTGAGCAACTCGTGCTCGGATTGAAAGGATAACTCGCTTACTGTCCATGATGATGATTTAACGATAGAAATGCCAAACCTTTTCCAAAAGTCCATTCCACATATTATATCCTGTTGGATAAACGAAACTATTAGAAATTCAAAGTCCGAGTGTATTGAATTGTAATTCAGAGGAACTTTAATACCACCAGCTACAATCTGAGTCTGACCGTCAGCAGTACGAACAATGCCTTTAATTTTGTTTGTCAGAAGATTCTTCGAGAGAATTTTATCGGCTAATTTTCCTCCGATGACGCTTTTATTGGCTCCGCTATCTAATAGCGCAAGGTAACTCTCACCCAGTATCTCAACTTGAGTAAAAGGACGAATATCGCTCGCTTTGTGAACGACCGAGGAAACAGTGACGTGACGTAGGCTTCTCTTTCGCTTCCAAAATTCGCGCATTCGTTCCGCTGAACGAGACAACACCGCTAAAGGAGGTTTGGGATCAAAAATTTCGGCTCTACGCTTCTGATATTCTCGAAGTCTAATATGGTATGGTCTTAAATGTAGAGGGAGTGGTATGTCTGAGGAGGATTTGGATATGTCTGGTTTAAGTTCACGTCCGGTAATAAGATGTATATGTTGAACATCCGAGACTAACGTCGGAAGTCGCGTCTTGTTGACCGACGGACATCCTGGGATACGTTTTCCGTAGTCGATTTACACTTTGCACAGTTGGGATTGTACGTATCAGGTACACCACAACCATAACAGAAAATACGACGAGGTTTTAGGCATTCCTGGTATTTGTGGCCCTGTTCTTCGCAATTCCAGCATTTACTAATTTAGGAAGATCGGATTCGTCAAGGGAGTCCCCCTCTTTTTCGGAATTATCATCAGCTTCTTCGTCATGGCTTATGGAGTTCTCAAACCTCTTGCTATTCACTACTTCGTGTCGCGAAAAAGGCTTTGACTTCAGATTTCGAAAGAATTCCTCGTGCTTGTGAAACTCCTTGCGTAAGGTTGCCAAATCTGGAGTTTCGATATGAAGCAAGTCGAGCTTCAGTTCCGACTTTAAATTCTCGCGAACCTCTATGGTGACGTCACAGTCCTGCATAGGCTCTCGTAAAGAGTCTGCGATAGATAGCATCGCATCTAGAAAATCGTCAAAGCTTTCATTACTACCCTGTTTACGGCTACGCATGGCTGCTTTGATCTCTTGATCCGAACGTTGATCCTGGTATCTCTCTTGCAACCGGCTGCATAACTCATACCAGTCAAGGTTATTCGTGGTCCTATGAACACGCCAGTAAAATGACAAGGCTGAATCAGTAAATAAGAGACTGGCGAACTGCGCCAGTAAGGTAAAGTTTCCATTTAAACAATTATTGGTATGACAATTCACTCTATAAATAAAATCTTCGATGGGAATATCTTTGGAAGATCCACTGAATTTTATACGCCACTTGGAAATGATATTTGAGATCTTATCAGGATGTTCACTAGGAATGTCTGTGAAATTCGCACGTGCACTAGATGGGCGTGGCCTGTAACTATGGTTACGAAGATTACTAGCGCTGCTCATTCGAGGGAAGGATGGAGCAATATCACTCTCCCATTCAAGCTGGGGCTCCTCCCGGAAGTTCCTAGAAACATTTGTCAGGTTCAGATTCCTCAACTCCGTTGTTATCTTCTCTGAAATAACTGCGATCATATTTTCCTGATATTTAGTCATGGACTCTGGAATAAGTCGTTGGATATTTCCTTCGAAAAGAACATTGGATTCCTGAGCACGTCTAGTCTGGCCAGGTCCTGGTCGAGGGTTAGGTCGTGCACTTGAGGCTTTTGGGGTATTTCGTACCTGTGACCTTGTTTTAGGACGATTTTTCGGAATTGCTCCGGTGTACGACAAATTCGCCGCGGCATTTTCCCCACTCTGTAAATTCGATTGAGATTGTGAACGCAAAGGTAACGAACACAGCTGCCTACAAATCGGGCATGTCTCATTGGATGTCAACCAATCCGATAAACACGACCTGTGGTATTTGTGTTTGCAATGGGTTTCTACAATGTCGGTGTCCTGGCTAGTATCATTGCATATAGTGCAGTGTACGACTACCTCGCCGAGATTAACATTTATATTGTCAATACTTCAATACTGTTACGTAGCCGTAAACAGGGTAGTAATGAAAGCTTTGACGATTTTCTAGATGCGATGCTATCTATCGCAGACTCTTTACGAGAGCCTATGCAGGACTGTGACGTCACCATAGAGGTTCGCGAGAATTTAAAGTCGGAACTGAAGCTCGACTTGCTTCATATCGAAACTCCAGATTTGGCAACCTTACGCAAGGAGTTTCACAAGCACGAGGAATTCTTTCGAACTTTTTTTTTCTTTTTTTAAATCTAAATTCGAAAATATGGGCAATGATTGTGAGGGTCTCCTACCAGGCACCAGCACAGCAGAAAGAATGTCTTCGGTTGTTATAACCTTAAGTCCGTAAGCAGAAAGAAAGAAAAAAAAATTTGGTTGATAATCCTTTCGAGAAAAAGAGGAACAGGACCGAATTCTCCAGTCTGAACAAGTCTCAACTAATCTCGAGAGAATAAAGGTCATTCATCTTCGCTACTAGGTATAGAACCAATTTACTCAGAACTATCGTTCCTAGTATCCTGATGAAATGATATAATGAAGTATACTGTGATCTTCTTCTATGCAATATATCCACTGGTCTGGGTCCGACAATGATCAGATTCCCAGCTGTTCCGAGCTGGATATATAAAACAAAAACTGAACTACTTTAAAATTTGGATCAATATTGGGTTGCGGACGCGATTGGGGAATGTTATTGGGGAAAACGGACCATTCGGGCCCCACGTTGGGCGCCATTTATTATGTAATGGACTACTAAAGGTTGGCCGGCTAGGCTCAGGGAAAATGGGGTGGGTGTTGTGCTGCGAAAACGAACTCCGTCACCTAACAAAATCGTAGACAGATTTACGGGAACTGGGATCGGAATTACAAACCCGGACGGAACTTAAGGTCCACTACCTACTGTGAAGAGCAAGGTGGTTGTGCTCTTCCCTCTTGACCCACCCTCCATGTAGAATAACATAAGAATATGCCAATATGGTTCTACCCAAAACCTGCCGCTGCTGCCTATGTGCCTTAGGAACCCCTCCCAAAAATCAGATTAGAAATTCATGTTAAATCGTTATAATTTTACTTTGACTTGTATGACTTCAGGTTGTTTGTAACCCCCATTATTTCTACCCTAACCCTTAAAACTATTTTTACTGCATGTGTATATATATGTGGGACTAATTTAATACATAGGAATTCAAGAGAATGATCAAAAATGAACTGATTAAATGAATTAAATGGCATAATTGTAGTGATTATAGTTCCATGGACACAATGAGACCGATGATGCACCCTTTTAGAATATATTATTAACTAGGCATAAATTTCATGTTTTTCTTCTTCTATTTCTAAGTTAATGTCTAGGAATATTTAATATTATTGAACAATTTTCTTTTCTATTTTTTTCTTCTATCCATAATTTTTCATTAAATTTTCTTTTCTAGATTTTTGTGATTTGCTTTTCTTCCCTTAAGTGGCTTTTAGAATGTCGGCATCGAACAATTTTAATAACCTGAGAGAAGGAGAGAATAGGTGACATACGGTCAGGTGGGCCTATTTAAGTGCGCATAGGTGTATGGTCAGCCGCAAGGGCAATGACCGCTGAGCTAATTTTTCCACACCCTACATATGCAAGCACCAACATTTTCTTTACACAAGGCGCGGTGATAAAATATATTAGATGGTTTTATATTGAGATATATGTATATAAACAACTCGGTCCCGATCGCCAAGTCCATCCGTTTCTCGGCCTGCAGGTAAGGCACCAAAAAGAAGGACTGATGATCGTGGTACTGGAGCGGACCACCCTCCGAGACCGAGGGTCAGGCCAGGTCAGCAATTTCCTGCCACACGTGGATCATAACCTATGTACAGTACATACATGGAATTATGTAATAAGGTTACTTTTTCATTTTTTTCTTTGCGTACCTTATCCAGGGGTTGGTTTTTAAGTTTTTGTCTTTGCAGCCACAACACTTTTAAAAAAGTTTTTTTTATTTGGTTTAATTTTCACCACGTTTTTTTATGTATATTTTCTACACGCACATTAATTAAGTCTTCCAACTTTGAATGCAATTTTTGTTCTGTGCAGCATGCACTTAGCCTAACTAGTTTACCCCTCCAAAAGCTGTGTATGGGAGCGCTAAGAAGGTTCTCGAAGGGCTAGCCGTAAGCTATGCTTGCGGAGAGAAAAGCTCACATGTGAACGGCGCTCGCACATGCAATTTCGAAAGAAAGAGCTTTTCAAGATAAAAGCTTCTGATCTTGCATGTGGGCTCTCGCTGGAATGCGTACAGTGGGGGAGGTTCAATATATTCTCGATAATATTAGAAGACTGTTCCCAAAAAAAATTTGTCTTAATACAATTTTTGTACAGACATTCTAACTTTTTGTTTTTGGTCTGCAACCTTCACACACTGTTACAAGTGTATTTCAAAAATGAGACCCGCCCTCTTCTGCCCTTGCAAAAGGCCGAAAAGCTCCCAAATCTTCAAATCTAATTTTAAAGATAAAAGACCACTAAAAACGCCAGTCCATTGGGAATGACCATATCTTTCAGATCACCAAATTAGGATTCCATTGGATCATTATTATAGCCACAATGAAGAAATTCATTTCCAGTGGCTAAACCCACCCCGTCCCGCAGCTTATATTTGTTTTTTGGACGTTCTCTCATTCACACTCTGCTTCATGCAGTGCGCGGCAGCTGCCTCTGCCGTTAGTCTGCAGTGTGTGGGTCCAGGGAAGTGTTGTTGATGTAAATTACAGGTGAAGAAAAAATGAAAAATTTGACGAAAACCCGCTAAGGTGCAGATGTAGTACTGAGTACAGAGTATAAAAGTTGTGACGCGTAAGAAACGTCTTACACGTCCCTTCTCATTTTTCTTTGCGCATTCCTGTTTTTTTACACCTATATCTGCTCGGAATTTACGGATCTCGAATGTGCTTTAACATTTATTTATAGAGTCGGCAAAGTCCTACAGTTTGAGCACTAGACGGTGTTGTCCGTGGCCCCACTTCAACGTCAGGCAGCATATTTTTCAAATGTGCAACACTTTCCACCAGTACTAGAAATGACATATACAATTTGGACACATCAAGTTCTAATGCTGCTACTTTTTTTTCCGTACCTGTGACCAGGCGAAGGACAAGGGCTTCTCTCTTGGGATCTGGATGTGTTTGTTGGGTGATATTGCATTGAAAAACAGCAACAACAACCCTAGCAGCTGCAATATTCCTGCTGCTGTTTCGACTGTTTGTGGGACGTGTGAGACGCTTCTTACGCGTCACAACTTTTATACCCGGCACTCAGTACTACATCTGCACCTTAGCGGTTATTTGTCAAATTGTAAATTTTTTCTTCATCTGTCATCTACATCAACAACAGTACTCACGCCAAAACGCTCCTTTAGCTCGCCTGCAGAGCTGCAGAGTCAGGGCAGAGACGTATCTGCGCTAAGAAGAGTGTGAATGAGAGAATGTGAAAAAAACAAATATAAGTTTCGGGACGGGGTAGGTTTAGCCACTGCAAATTAATTTCTTCATTCTGGCTATAATAATGATCCAATCGGATCCCAATGTGGTGATCTGATAGATATGGTCATTCCCTACAGAAATTAGTTTTCTTTTATTTTCAAAACTGTAGGTTTGCGAGGTTTTCGCCCTTTTGTGGGGGCGGAAGGGGGCGGGGCTAATTTTTTAAATACACTGTTTTCTGTGAGCATATAGCAGTCTCGAGCCAAAATTTGGTGCCTCTAGCTCTTATAGTCTCTGAGTACTAGGCGCTCAACAAGACGGACGGACAGACGGACAGACAGACATGGCTCAATCGACACGGCTATTGATGCTGATCAAGAATATATATACCATATGGGGTCGGAAACGCTTCCTTCTGTGCGGTTCATACAACCGTTATTCGCACAAATACAATATACCCTATTTACTCTTCGAGTACCGTGTATAAAAACTGTGAGGAAAGAGATCCTCACACACACGGTGGCCCGTAAAGGGTTTACAATTATCAGTTATCCGGCGGCGCCGATGGACGCCGATGGAAAGTTACTGGCACCGCATGGGAAAAAGTCCCGTTCTTTTTAGGCAGCATCGTCGGTGGCCAGGCCGCTGCGACTTGATAAGAGGAGGCCCTCGTCTCGGGACAGCCAAAGAGGGAGAATAAGAGTTCGCGCAAGTGAAAGTGAGCTAGTAAAGAAGAAGAAGCAAACAACATAGGCCAAGATGCAGCCCAAGTGAAGAATCAAGAGAGAACGCTCGCCCGACAGGTGAGTGCCATTGAAAGCGAACGCATCGTGCACGATCTGAGTGTGGCGGATCCGGGCCCAGAGAAGAGGTTCGCAAGCACCAGTTCTTAGAGCCGACGGTGCCACGCTTGCTGACCCTGAGAAGGCGAGTGGTGACCGACCAGGCGCCAGTGAGTCTATTGAGAGCGAACGCGTCGTGCGCGAATTTGGGGTGTGTAGGACTAAGAGATCGTGCTAAGAGATCCGTGGCGCAGTAACACTACCCGACACGATTGTTTCTCAAGGAACGAAACCCACTTTTTATGAAAGCCATAGATTTTGATGAGCAACACCTTTAAAGACGCCCAATTAATGCACTTGTACATAAAAAAATAGTGACAGAGGATTTAATTTTTGTTCGACTTTTCCCGAGATTGTAAAGCCGACATTTTTGTTAAAAATACGTGACAAAAATTACCATTTTTTTTTAAGCCGTGCATTAACTTTCTTTAAGATCTGTCGTTCGCAAACAATTATTAAATTTCCTCTTTTTTTTTTGGGGTACTTGGCAATCTTATTTCAGTTAACTGTTTATCGGTTGCTGAGTCCGTAAATCTAAAGCAGGCTGCTGGACATGCTGTTATGTAATTATCATTACTCAGGTTCAAATGCGAACCACTGACGTTTGTTCGGTTCGGTTGTCGCAGCCAGATGAGAATTTAACGCTCGGCACCGTTAACGTGTGCTGACGATAAGCTAAAACCACAAAGTGTTTGGGTTGAATTTTTAGCTGCATAAATAGCAGATAAACAAAGTTCTTTACAACAGATGTTAGATACTTAAGTTACGTGAAAAAACTTACCGCTACCTCTGAAAAACCCGTTACAAAAAAATACCTGACCTTAAAAATACCTTTAAAACAATTTTGCCATTGAAAAAAAACCATAATTCATTAAAAAATTGTAATGCTCGATATCCATTTTCAGTTCCATATTGTCGAGTAGTGTAATTAGAGCCGGCGGTGGCACGCTTGGAGACTGCCTGGATGTGGGTCGAAGGGTCAGGAGTGAACGACAACGCGGGGCAACGGCGAGGAAACGTTGTTGTTAAGTATAAATACAAAATATAGTTATAAGATGTCAATAAGCAGTACTCGAAAACACCCAAGTCTTTTATTTGTTGCACAGGCAACAAAACAAATATTGTTGCAACGAACCTGCCAGCCACTGAGTACGTCCTGCGCACCAAAGGCGGACAAAAGGGTTCGTTACAATCGATCTAGGTGGGGCACACAGTGAAATTTAGTATTTCGAACGAGAGTTAACTGGTACTGAATATTCCAGTATTTCTTTGGTCACTTTTTTATCCGATGCATCCAATAAGCGCGATGTAGCTCAAAGGGGGCCTAGCTATGGCCACCGGGTGGGTCGCTCGTTAGGGTTACCAAACCGCCTACCTATGTACGTAGGTAGGTCAGCTGCGAGTCCCAAAGATTTGCAACATTGCTGTCTCTGAAGGAGAGTACCGAAATAGGCAGTCCCAGGCAGCCTGCGGGTGTTTGCAAAACAGCAACACTGGCGATGCGCTTGACGCTCTGCCCGAGCTGACCGTTCCCCATCTCTGAATCTCGTTAGTAAAAAAAAATATAACAAACAGACACAAAAAACCAAAACAACGAGAAGGGACGTGGGAGACGCGGTACTCAGTACTACATACATCTGTACCTTAGCGGTTTTTTTTATATTTAAAATTTTTTTTTCATCTGTCATCTACATCTACAACACTTCTCACACCAACACGCTCCTTTAGCTCGTCCCTCGTCAAACGCCAACAGGGAGTAATCCCAAGCCGGGGAGGGCAGCGGCAGCAGTTGGAAAAACTTTCCAGGTGGAATACGCAGGTGCGGGCTCCATCTCAATCTTTGGGTGGGTGGTACAGCACAGCCCAATACTGACACCTTGGAGAGGCAGCTAAGCTGCCTAACAGGCAGCACTGTAAGGAGACGCCTGGACCACCGGCGAAGCGATCCAGGGCACTGCCAGACGTGTCCTTTGCGTATATTGCCAATGAGAGGACGCTGTCAGGCGTCATCGATAAAGGCAGCGTGAGGGAAGAATGCGAGAAGCCAATGAAAGTGGGGGATGCGGCACTGGCCGACCGCTGCTTCGAGCTTCTAGAGACGGACCGAGGCTCACCTCGAGTCTGTAAGGACATGGGATATGCAGCAACTGCTGCCCTCATACTCCGAATGCAAGCGAGTCGAAGTAGTCCTAATCCTTGGAGCCTTGGGGGGTGGCAGACAAGGTCTGTGGATTAGCTTCGAAGGACTACAAGCGGATCTTACCACAGACATTAGGTAAAATTCGTACCTGCATACTAGTCGCAAAGCACATAAACATCTTTCTTCTCCATAATTCTAGCAATGCAGCGGCCAGCCTACAGCTGCAAGGGAAACGCTTCAGAGTAGTATCGATTTATATGGCTCGAATATAGGCCTCCTGGTAGACGACTCCAACGCCCACCACACCCTGGTAGTCAAAGCCAGTTTATATCCTCCGTAGAAGCTGCAGGAATAACTTCAATAATGCCAACAGTAGCAGCGAGGACAAACTATGGGCAGACTAAAAAGTCTTGCCCTTTATAAAAATAAACCAGGAGAGCGAAAAAAGTCACCTGGAAAAAACTCTGTAAGGAAATCGACTACTCACGATCTCAACAGCAAACCCCTCTGTTGGATACATCAAGAGCAAGGATGGTACGTGGACGAACTCTAGAGAGATGTCCCTACACATCCTACTCGACACTCTTTTTTCAGGGTGCACAACAACCGAACAACCGGAACGACTCAGTGAAATCGCGGTCACCTCGGTGGCACACCTCCTAATAAAGCGGATCGTCTGCTGGGCGGTGAACAGCCGCTACAGCCGATGACAAGGTCATCCCAGCCCAACTTCAAGAAGATATTGATAGTGGGGACAATTCCTTAAGCAAGGCTCAAGGCCAAAATTATCTTCATCCCGAACGCGGGAAATATTTACCTTCAAAGGATTTCAGACCAATTAGTCTATCCCCGTTTCTCCTCAAAACCTTTGAGAGAATAGTCGGGCTACAACTGAGGGCAACCATCAACCGTCAGATGCTTTCAGACGCAACTAAATATAAGGCACTCATTTTGCCTCCCTCTTGTCTTCATGGAGCTACTTCAGGGAGCTACTTGCTTGAATATTTACAGTGACAGCCAAGCGGGACTTAAATCACTAAACGCGATTTCTTCGAGCTCGACCAAAGTGGCAAATTGCCGCAAATCTCTAATTGAGATGGCAGAGCAGTCTGTTATTAATCTAAAACGGATCCCGGAACACCAGAACATTGAAGGCAACTTCATAGCAGACGAGTTGGCCAGATCTGGCACTACACTCCCCCTTAATCCAGACAGGGAGGAAATTCGTATGCCAATGGCTAATTGGTATCTCATCATAAAAGAGTATTACCAGTATTACACTCTACAAGCAAGCAACAGATGGCAAATAGTTCCAGGATTTCGAATCACCCGACAGACGTCTGTCATCACAAAGTAGCTATGCATACTCAGTAGGGATAGGTGCAGCGTAGTCATTCGCTCCTTTACAGGGCATTTGCTAATAGACAACCACGCAAATAGCTGTAGAGACGAGGACGAGGAGAAGACAGTGGAAAATATGTGAGGCTAAGATATCTAGGCTCACCTTTTCTCAACAATTTTTCTTTTGTAAGGGCATAGGAATGGGACCACTGCTGACAACGTGCAAAGCGGAAGAGAAGTGGAGTGGATCCAAGCGCAATCACAACGGGAAAATCCGATCTAAGTTTATCGGGATTTCGACAATCCCGACAATCGGCTCAGCCCTACCTAACCTTGGGAATTTTTAGATCGGATAACGGTTTTGTAGATGATGGATGGCATATGTTTAGACTTAGAGAGGTTACAAGGTTAGAGAGGTCCTCTTGCTATGATCACAATGTAAAATAAAAACCTTTATTTTTTGTAGACGCTCAAAAATTAGATAAATATTTGCGGAAAATTGCAACTTAAAGTTCAGAAATTCGTTTCACCGTTTACTTTTAGTGTTACAAATCGTTTACCAGATATATTCGGTATTTAAGCTCCCTAACTTTTAGTTACTTTGATATCGTCATGCGGTTTATTTCGTTAGCTCTGCTGATCTTGCTAATAGGTCTGGTCCTAATTGCCCCTCTTGGGACAGATGCTTGTAAGTTTAACCAGTAAAAAAACAGCTAGTGTGGTGTAAACTATATTATATTACTCTTCTACAGCCTGTAAACAAGCTGGCAAACGCATGAGAGATCTAATAGACTGGGACGAAGATGGGAGCTGTGATCGTTCCTCATACCCCAAAGTCATAAGCGAAACAGAGGAAGCCCTTGCCGAAAATGTTGATTCTGATTCCGATCATGCTGAAGCATCCTACTTGCCGTATGAGTCTTTCTTCAGAAAATTGAAGTGGGCCTTTGCGTTTGTGTACAAAATTGTCATTTGGTATCTGAATTTCATTAAGGAATAAAATTAAAATCATGTGCCAGAGCTGTTAACAAAGCCTAAATCCTATTGCTTTACAAATTTACGATGTACGAGTATCAAAAGTCAAGTTTTTCCCTTTCATAAACAGAGTCACTTGCTTTCCAACATTCCCATTGTTTTTATGGCTTTGTTTTCTCTTTGTTCTGTTTATGTTCCTGGGAGTCGCACTCTGCTTATTCCTCTTAACCTCGTATTTTAACAGTACAAGAGTACAAGGGTATGTTGTGTTTATGTAAATGGTTCTAATGATCATATAGCCATGCAAGTCTGTATCTCGGTACCTACTGACGTAGACCTTCTCTGATGCCCCTGCACGTAGTTTCTTCCCTTTTAAAAGTCCCTTTTTACAGCAGCTTTTCATATCTTAAAAGCCCAGCATCAGGTATAAGGTATCAACCTAGCACGTTCCTACTTGATTTCCTGTTTCTTCGCTTTTGGTTCTACCCTCCCCCCTCACCATTCGGCATTTTGCAATTTAAGCTATGAAAAACGGTTTGTTTGGCACTGTTTCTGCATTGTACTGTGGTTCGTGCTTTTGTTTGATGTTGCATTTTTTTTTTTTTTTTTTGTTGCATGCATTTAACATGAGAAGCCGGCAGTTGGCTTATTGCGAATTTTAATGTTTTATGGTAGTTGATGGCAAATACAGCGAGCTGTGTAAATATACATAGATATATTCTAGACGAGTCAGAGCGGGAAATGATTACAGTCACGGAACAGCGTTACCGGACACGCTTAAGCATGCAAAAATTGATAAAGTGAAATGTTTGCTAGTGCATTTCAATCAGCAGTATGTTGCACATCTGATGTAAACCATCATAGCACATACATATGTATATATGGTATAAATACATTATTTAAAAATAAATTTTAATAATTTTGGCATCAGAAACTTATTATACACTGTTCTCGAGGAGTGAATAGGGTATGTTTAAAGACTATATAGTAGGAAGATGAGCCACGTTCATAGATTCAAATTTCAGTACAGAAGCAAGATTTTGACGTACGACGAAAAGCCAAGAAACCTACCCCTTTTTCGATCTCTCACATATGAACGCAAAATCTAAATATATGTAGATGGCACTTGTAGGTACGCACTAGCCAACCAGACGATTGCTTTGCTTCTCAAAGAGTTAACAGACTCGAAAAGTAAATGGGGCATATTGTATTTGTGGTCGAAAAATGTAACAAGGAGGAGGAAACGTTTCCGACCCTATAAAGTATTCATTTTCTTGATCAGAATCAACAGCCGATTCGATAGAGTCACGTCTGTCTGTCTGTCTGTCCGTCTTGTTGAGCGGCTGGATCTTAGAGACTATAAAAGCTAGAGCTACCAAATTTTGCATCCAGACTTCTGTATGCTCACACTGAAACCAGTGTATTTAAAAAATGAGCCCCGCCCCCTTCCGCCCAGCATATCGTGAAAAATCTGCGGTATTCACAATTTGAAGATATGAGAACACTTAAAACGCCATTCCGTAGGGAAGGACCATATCTATCAGATCAACGAATTAGGATCAGGTTGGATCATTATTATTGCTAGAATGAAGAAATTAACTTGCAGTGGCTAAACGCTTTTATCGCTACAGCCCCTTCCTGGCTCCTTACACCCTCTGCGGTAGTTCTCTTGAGAGAATTACATTGATGATCTAGGTGTTAAACTAGACCCAAAGTTAAAGTTTTCTGAACACATTTCTACCATGGTAAATAAAGCCATGGGTGTGCTTGTGTTTATAAAGAGGTGGTCAAAGGAATTTGAGGACCCCTATATAACGAAGACTCTCTATATCTCGCTTGTTCGTCCGATTTTAGAATACGGCTCATGTGTATGGTGCCCTCAGTACAACATACATCAGGACCGTATTGAATCAGTACAGAAAAACTTTTTATTATTTGCCCTACGGGGCCTCAACTGGGATGCAACTGTGAGACTGCCATCCTACCGTAGTAGACTTCTTTTAATAAATCTTCCATCCTTAGTTAGTCGTAGAAAAATGCTTGGTGTAATTTTTATGCACAACTTGATCAAGGGGGATGTAGACAGCCCTGACTTGCTGAGCCGCATAAACTAGAAACTTGATTCCTTTGTTCCTTCCACTGTGTAAATCGAATTATGCCTCACACGAACCCTTTAGGGTTTTATGCTCGGATTATAATTCCCTCTACCAAATTATATCCTCAACTAACTCCCTTCCTCTTCTTAAATCTCTTATACTAGCCTACCTCTCCCGTAGTTAGTTTCATTTTAGTTTTGTCTTGTTTCTGATTTTGGTAATTTCTGCTTGTTTAGCTATAGCTTAGCTTAGTTTAGTTATGAATAGCTCTAATTTTCCTCGAATATTAGCCTAACATCTATCTTTCCTGCATGCTCGCGACCGGTTCGGTTAATCGCGCCGCGCGTCATGCGGCAGCGCCCCTCGGTCGGTTGGGCGGGAGGAGGGCTGCGTTCTGCTAGGTTCCGCGCGTAACAGGCTTTGGCTTGGTGTCGCATGGGCCACTTGATGGTGCAGTCATTGCATATCAACGTCCAGAAGAAATAAACCCACACTCTGCTTCTGCAGTGTGCGGCCTCTGTCTCTGCTATGCCTCTGCCTCTGCCGCGAGTCTGCTGTGTGTGGGTCTAGGGAAGGGCGGCGAGCTAACGGAGGGTGTTGGTGTGAGAAGTGTTGTAGATGTAGATGACAGATGAAGAAAAAATTTAAAATTTGACAACAAATCACTAAGGTACAGATGTAGTTCTGAGTGCCGGGTATAAAAGTTATGACGCTTAAGAAGCGTCTCACACGTCCCTTCTCGTTATACCCGGAAATAGGGTATATTGTATTTGTGCACAAAGTGAATGTATGTAACACACAGAAGGAAACGTTTCCGACCCCATAAAGTATACATATATTCTTGACCAGCATCAATAGCCGAGTCGATTGAGTCTGTCTGGCCGTCCGTCCGTCTGTCCGTCCGTCTAGTTGAGCGCCTGGATCTCAGAGACCATAAAAGCTAAAGCCACCAAATTTTGCATCCAGACTTCTGTATGCTCACACTGAAACCAGTGTATTTAAAAAATGAGCCCCGCCACCTTCCGCCCCCGCAAAAGGTCGAAAACCTCCTAAACCTACAATTTTGAAGATATGACCGCTAAGGTGCAGAGGCCTTCATCTCTTACGCTCCTAGGACATCTCTGTTTTATCGACACCAGTTTTTTATATGGAAATAACCGCTTATGTCACATACATAGGTAAATTACGCTGGCATCGATGCGTGGCCGCTTGCACATCGATAACCCGTACTCCAGCGGTATATAAAAGAAAAGGCGAACAAATCGAGCAAAAAACGAGAAGGGACGTGTGAGACGCTTCTTACGCGTCAAAACTTTTATACCCGGCACTCAGTACTACTTCTGCAACTTAGCGGTGTTTTGTAAAATTGTACACTTTTTCTTCATCTGTCATCTACATGTACAACACTTCTCACGCCAACACATTCTTTTAACTCGCCACCCTCCCCAAGAGCCACCCACTGCGCGAAGCAGAGTGTGAATGAGAGAATGTGCAAAAAACAAATATAAGCTACGGGACGGGATGGGTTTAGCCACTTCAAATTAATTTCTTCATTGTGGCTATAATAATGATCCCATCGGATCCCAATTTGGTGATCTGATAGATATGGTCATTCCCTAACGAATGCTTTTAGTTTACTTGAAAATAAAAATTTGTTCGTGTGCATAAAGTAATAGTTGACACTGTCAGAGAAAATAATCGACAACGGCAATAAGTACTTAGAGCATTTACATCCGCTTTGTTTCTTCATTACGCATTCGAATACAAGTCTGATTTTAAGTATAACGTTCATCAGAATGTATTGATTGGTGCTATGGACAAACAATGTCCCAATTTTCACGCGCTCAAACATAAACATGCGTCAAATTATATGTATGCATCAGGCATAGAGCAACTAATTGAAATTGAGACACTACCGGAACCATTGGACTCATCGGCACAGACCCAGATATAACGAAATGGATTTAATGAAAAATGGGGTTTTCGAATGAGCGCAGCGCCTTTCATATAATATAATATTCAGAAAATGGGTTCATTTAACCTCAGTGGCTGTCCATTAGTTCTGGAGGTTCATAGCCAGCTGCCCGAATTTATTAACAGGCGAAGGACCGGTGTGAGACTTGTCACAACTCTTATACCCTGTACTCAGTCAGTATATACATATGTATGTACATGTGTACGTATGTACATATGTATATACAATTGTCCTTCTGGGCGTTACATACATACATCCATTTTCGAGCACAAATACAAAATACCCTTTTTACTCATCGAATACCCGGTATAAAGCATTAATGCATAAATAATGAATTGTTAAGCAATATACAGCAATGTCATTAAAAATGGAACAAATGTTTCAGGTTTAACTTTCGTTTGCAGAATAAAAAGCTTCACCAAAAAAGGTCAGAATTGTCCCTGACTCTACATATGCTCTCAATTATCAAGTGTCAATGCAAGTGTTAAAAACTTCGTACAGAATTTTATTCTTATTGTTTCAAAGCTCTTAGGGCATAAACTGATGTATGGATCAACATTTTGTCCTTACATGTCAAGAGACCAAAATTTTACGTTCACTTTATAAAACACTAGTTCTGGAAACTATATTTCCCAAACGATGTTCCCTGAATATCTGCAACTTTACTGCATTGTTTCTTTATATAACCAAAGTTAAGTATGCTACATAAACCAGGGCTTGGAATGGTGCTCAGCTGACAGATGCGACTGTTGGCTTGGCTTATTAGGCTAATGGGCTTGCATAAAACTTTGGCCAGGGCCGGCGAACAAACAAACTGCAGTAAAAACAAAGCGTGTGGAAATAATGTGCTAAATGAGCAAAAGCCTTAGTTATCCTCTTGTTTGGTTGTTGTTGTAAGAAGGGGGGAGCATGGCAAATACTTGCAAAATACAAATAAAATTTGTACTCAAACTTGTACTCAAATTTGTACTCAACTCAAACTAAAATCGAGAAATATGAACACAGGGACGTGTGAAACGCTTCTTACTCGTCACAACTTGTATAACCGGCTCTCAGTACTACATCTGCACCGTAGCGGTTATTTGTCAAATTTTAAATTTTTTCTTCAACTGTCATCTACATCTACAATACTTCTCACACCAACACGCTCCTTTAGCTCGCCGCCCTTCCCTAGACCCACACACTGCAGACTCGAGGCAGAGGCAGCGCACGCACACAAAAAAAAAACCAATATAAGGTGGGTTAAAAGTCGGCAGAGGCCAGGTGAAGCAGAAGCAGAGTGTGAATGAGAGAATATGAAAAGAACAACAAAAGCTGTGGGACAGCTTGGGGTTTAGCCACTGCAAATAAATTTCTTTGTCCCAATTTGGTGATCTGATAGATATGGTCAATCCGTACGGAATCTTTTTAACTTCAAAACTGTAGGTTTGGGAGGTTTTCGCCCTTTTACGGAGGCGGAAGGGCGGGGCTCATTTTTTAAATACACTGGTTTCAGTGTGAGCATACAGCAGTCCGGAGCCAAAATTTGGTGGCTCTAGCTCTTATAGTCTCTGAGAACTAGCCGACAAACAAGACGGACGGACGGACAGACGGACAGACCGACATGGCTCTATCGACTCTGCTATTGATGCTGATCAAGAATATATATACCTTATGGGGTCGGAAACGCTTCCTTCTGTGCGTTATATACACCCGTTATTCACACATATACAATATACCCTATTTACTCTTCGAGTACCGGGTATAATAAAAGCAAAGCGGAAATTGTTGGAAAACGTTCAACGAAAAACTCTGAAAATAATTTGAAACTAATTAAAGGGATGGCGTGGGTAGATGTACGGGGTGTACTGGGTGTGTATGTGACAAGCTGCTGTAAAACTTAATTAACTAAATGCCAGCAACAAAACCCATAACTGAAGTTGTTGTCCAAGCACACAAAACGCACACACACGTGGCGTTTGTGTAATTTAATCATGTTTGTTGTAGCCCTGGCCAAAAGGGTGTGCAGACAGTGAAGGACGTGCAGACCCACAGCAGCAGAGCTGCTTTTGTTGACACCAACAGAATGCAATTTTCGCCATAAAACAAACAAGGGAAATCTTGTTCGAAAATGGAGGCAAAATACGCAGCAACAAAAAAAGTCAAATAAAGATATATCCCAGATTGTATTTTAAGTTGCATGATTAGTTGCAACAGCACTGCAGATGTTCTTACTATAATAGGACCAAGTGATAAAGCCCGGCTAATGTGGCTTTACATTAATGATATCAGCATACAAAGGGGTTTGCTGGTAACCAGCATGGAAAATTATAAAAAGCATGCTCTTGGTGAGAATATAAATTTGCTGATTGATTTGCTAAGCTTTAATTAACCATTACATATAATACATTTTTACTTTTAATAAGTGTGGCTTTTAGTTGTTTGAGTTTCTTGTACCATGAGTGTTTGTTTGTCTTTCATGGTTTTAGCATGGCTCTTCAGCTCTCGCGGTGTCCTGACAGGTAAAACTTTAATTTATTTTAATATTTCTACTTTTTAAACAATATTTTTGCGTGCGAGAAGTGCAAGATGCTGCATTTATTGACGGATTTAACGCATATCTCAAAGATTATCGTCGTTACCAAATGGAGGCTATACAACTCTCCAAAAACATTCACATATCCACATTACACTACCGATAAAGTCAATCAAAAAAGACTTGTTAAAAGTTTTAGTGAATATACTTAATTAACGAATGGCAAAAGATTGGTACAAATACCAAAACTCTAGCAACAAATAAAAAAATGTATTGTGAACTTCTTTGCAGAAATTAAAACTTCACCCAGAGATAAATAATCGAGTAATACCTTAAAAATTATCTTTGGTTTTGTGGGAAAGCCTCAGTTCCCTTTCCTGTGGCTTTTTGCTGCCACATTTTCGTGGGGTTCTCTTCACTTTTGGGCCAACATTCTGCCATTGACTTAAATATTTTCTTTTGCATTTGAGTCGAAACGGGATACTTTGGCTTAGTGCCTACTCCGCATGGCATCTGGAGCATCAAAGAGAGAAACAAACATAGGAGGCAATAGAAAGCGCAGCAACAGGAGAAATTGCAGGTTCTGTTGTCCAGTCTTAAGTACATTGTCGGGCACATTTACTGACCAGAGGCCTCACATGAGCGGTTCCGAGATGCATAAAAAAGGAGGACGGACCACATAATGACGCACAACATCACTTTCAGTTGCCACTATGAAAAAAGACAGTGCCCAGCCAGCCAGCCAGTGTCGATTGAAAATCAAAACACAAGGGAACTCCGCATCAATGGTTAGAGATGCTTTTGGACATGGCATTACACATTTTTCTCACAAAGGCCGAGGGCTCATTGTGTGCCACCATGGATAGCCCTTGGCCATAATTCATATCTGGAGCTCCACTTGTGAGTGGGAGCCGTAGTTGGAGCTGTAGACCACATATTGAAAACGCTTGGGACTTTGAAAAATCCACGCCAGGGCCAACTGTCTCAGCTGTGCTCTGTCCTCCAAGTTCGGCTGCGATTGCCAGTGTTCTATGCTGCCACTGCTCCTGCCACTCAATTGCATTTCCGAAGCCAGCTTCCCAGCTACTAAAACTACGCTGTCAAAGCGAGTAAAGGAAAAACAAACAGTGTACTTTAATTCATTCAGCAATACGTATTTGTCTGGACGTTGAACGCAGCCCTCCTCCCGACAAACCGAGCAAGGGGTGCTGTCGCATGACGCGCCGCGCGATTAACCGAACCGGTCGCGAACATGCAGGAAAGATAGATGTTAGGCTAATATTCGAGGAAGCAAAATGAAGCATACCTACGTGAGAGGTAAGCTAGATTAAGAGACTTAAAAGGAGGAAGGATAATCCGAGCATAAGACCCTAAAGGGTTCATGAAGCCACAATTCGATCTACAAAGAACAAGAGAATAAAGTTTCTAGTGGTTCTAATGGGAATCGTAAAGTTTATGCGGCTCAACAAAACAGGGCTGTCTACATCCCCCTTGATCAAGTTGTGCATAAAAATTACACAAAGATTTTCCTACGACTACTAAGGGTACTGAGGGCAACATACACATGACCCTATTCTAACATTGAACGAGCAAGCGAGATATAGAGAATCTTCGTTATATAGGAGTCTTCAAATTCCTTTGACCACCTCTTTATAAACCCAAGAACGCCCATGGCTTAATTTACCAGGGTAGAAATGTGTTCAGAAATCTTGAACTTGGGATCTAGTTTAATACCAAGATGATCAACCAATGTAATTCTCTCAAGAGAACTACCGCATTAAGTTGTAACATATTTGCACAGCACCATGACTGAAAGCTATTGAGATCAGATTGGAAGCGAGAGCGAACATCATCCGCATACATAAGTACTCTAGAATTTGTCAATACAGAAAATGACCTGCTTTCTGCAGTGTGAAGAGTAAAAGAGTGTGAAAAGTAAGGGGCCTAAATGGCTACCTTGTGGTACTCCAGAAGTAACCATAACAGGTAAAGATAAGGAGTTTTTGAAAAGGACCCTTTGAGACCTAGAACACAGGTAGCTAGAAATCCATCTCAACAGATTGGGCGGAAACCCTAGAAGGTCGAGCTTTTGCGCAAGAAGAGAATGGTTTACAGAATCGAATGCCTTACTGAAGTCAGTGTAAATAACATCCGCCTGCAAGTTACCTGGGAATCCTTTAATGACAAAGTAGGTGAACTCTAAAAGATTAGTGGTTGTTGATCGTCGCCGTATAAATCCGTGCTGTGCTGGAGATATAAAATTTTCTCGAACATTTTAGGAATAGCGGATAACTTAGATATACCTCTATAGTTTTTAGCGTCAGACTTGCTACCTTTCTTATGGATAGGAATTATAAAGGAGTCCTTCCAGATGGGGGGGAAAGCTAGAAGAAAGAATGGATAGGGTGAATAGTTTAAGCAAAGGTCCGCACAGAGACTCTGCACAGTACCTGATGGTACACAGCCGGGAACTCCGTCAGGGCCCGGTGAAAATACCGGCTTAACTAATTGAAGATCATGAAGTAGGGAGCTTTCATTTAAGAAAGGCAGAAAATGCCGTTCGACCTTGGTAAACTAAATAAATACACACTACCTGGGTAGCTTTCCTACAAATAAGTTGTTTGAAAAAATTGTGCCAACTTCGAAAGTAGGATGATAGCAGTCTTCAGGTATAGGGAGCGGAAGTGATCGTCTTAACAACGCTTCGGTCGGATCCGAGACAAAGCACAGATCAACGAGTTTTTTGCATGGTTGAGTTGAGACAGGGACAGGGGTCCAATAAGCCATCAATAAAGTCATGTCGTGACATGAGCACAAGGATATTAGACTCGTTGACCGAAGACAAAACAGTACCTGGTAGGATGAAATTCCCAAGAACTATTATCTGGAAGAACAGTTTTTAAGGCGGACAAGTGCTGCTCGTATATTAAGACATTCTAAGTCGGTGGAATAGGTAGAGTTATTGGGGGCCTATTTCTCTTCTTAGCCTTAAACTCTTTCACAATCAGGTGCTCTGGCCAAAATGCGAGCACATAACAATAAGCAATTATCGGAACCCCCCCTTCTACCGATCATACAGCCGGAGCCAGCGCGTGCACCCTCCTTATTGGTTACACCCCCGACCAGCTCGAGTGGCACAGCTACAACCACTATCGTTGTAGGTGACATGCTACAAAGGACAGGCACTTGCAGATCCGGAGGAGTGACTTTTTTGCAGTTTAAAACCGCTGAATTCAGACTTCTGGCTAGAAGCCGATCTTACTGCTTTTTAAAGCCCACGGTCAGCTCCTTAAAGCCCTTTCGCTTCTACCCCATAAATGTGCCCATGTCATTTTCGACAGAACGACATGCCTCGCAACTTTAATGCAGACCGTTACGCTTAGAAATTGCGTAACCAACGGGTCCAGAAAACCCAATACATGTTGCGTGCGCTACGTTTTCGAAGAGCCAGCAAGGTATGCTCGACTGATCGTGGGAGATCTGCTTCTTACAGGTTTTAGCGTAACACCGTATTTCATGTATCTATTAAATATATGTATGTATATGTACATAAATACAAAATAAATAAAGATTATTTTCTCAAAACAAATAGCACTCGGACCAGTGTGCCCAAAAAGTGCTTAAAGCAATGCCTAAAGCGTGATCGGAAAACAGTTGAGCGGGGAGAGTAGAGAAGAACAGTTGCAGCGACAGCTAAACAGCGAGCGAGCGTTACTGCACAGAAAGTTTTGGAAGCGAGAGAGGAAGAACAGTTAAACTCGAGCGAGAGAGTGATAGGCAGAAACGCAACTACAAAGAGCGGCTAAATGTGACGGCGTACTTACGAATAGAAAGAACACCAACTCACAAAATAACTATTTTGATTTAGTTTTTTGATATTAGTTAAGAATAGCAAGGGGAATTTTTTTTTGGGAAAATGGGCGCGTTACCACCTTTTTTAAAGGAAAAATCGGTTTTTTATTTTTTTTTTCTCAAAATGATAAAAGCAAAATAAGGATGGGACGATTTTATAAAAAAAATCGTAGCACCAATTAAAACAGCTTAAAAATCCAAGATAATCAAATTGTTTGTCCCACAAAGCATTCTCCATAGGAGTTTTCATTATAAAATTTCATTATAAAACAATATTACACTGGATATCAAACTCTAGCCCTCCAAAATAGCTAGTGTGCAATGCAAACTGGCACCATACTTCACAATTTTCTCCTTCATTGTGTTCCAAACGGCGAAAAAACATTGAAATTTCTCATTTGAGGTTATGATCTATAAATGCAAATTGTAAGAGTTGTGGTCAAATGTGGCATTACTGCTGTATACATTTTAACAATCATTTATTGCTCTACGACACACAATAGGTTTCAAGGTGGGACAAGGTGGCACTCTATTAAAAAAACTTTTTCAAAAATTAGTTTTTACCACGAACTGATGCATATTGAAGGCCTCAATTTAACAAACAATTACGAAGACATCGCCAACTACTAGATACCGTTCACATTACAAAACACGTAGTAAAAACCCTACTGAATAAAAGGCATCCAACAAATTGGATCACTTAATTGTATTTTTCAATTTATGAGACATTTAAAACAGCAATAAAACTGGTACTTTTTCACTGCACGTGCTTTTCAATAATGACCGCTGGGTTTCACAGATGATTTTGCGAAGGTGGCGCCATCTATGCAAATTTCTGGTATGCAACTTTGATGGTCACTCTTTTTTAATACAGAGCGCAAAAACCACTTTTTGGTTTTAACTTTTAAAAATTAGCTTATGGCCAAGAAAAGTGGTCATTGGGACCATAGTGGCTACGTACGCCTGATTACAGTCAAACAACAAACACAATAACAGCAGACATCCCAAGCTCCATTTGCCTTGCAAAACGAATATATCCTTGTTTCTTGGCCTCCCAAAACTCGGACTCTAATCTATGCACAGAATTGTTTCACAATCTTTTGTTGTGTGGCTCTAGTTTTAGGCTCCTTGGCCCGTTGTCCCCTTGTCCCTTAGCTGGTTACTCGTCCCACCACATCTGCATTTGCTTCTCATTAGCAAGAAAATCCCATTGATGGGACAAACACGTATGAGAAAGGATGTTTGTGCAATTTGGTTGTGTCCCCCTATGTCCCTGCCGAAAATTATGCAAATTGTTTCGAAATTTTGCATTGGATAATTTTGTTGTTTGCAAGTAAAGCTCAATAGAGACAAAACAAAACGACAATAGTTGCGTGAGACGCTTCTTACGCGACACAACTTGTATACCCGGTACTCGGTAGTACAGCTGTACCATGCAGTTTTTTTTTTTAATTTTACATTTTACATTTGTACATCTACCTTACTTCTTACGCAAACACGCTCTTTTAGCTCGCCCCCTCGCCTTGAGCCGCAAAGTACACGAAGGAGAGTGAGAGAGAATGTGCAAAAAGACAGACAGACATGCCTAAGTCGACTCGGCTATTGATGCTGATCAAGAATATATATACTTTATGGGGTCGAAAACGCTTCCTTCTGTGCTTTACATACATCCACTTTTCCCCACAAATACAATTACCCTCGAGTACCGGGTATAAAATAAAATAAACACACAGACGAATATTAAATTATGTCAGAAACTGACAGTTCACGCAAACAGCTAATAAGTTGTTGTATGGAGATTAAAAAAAAGTTTACATCCGACAGTTGACATCCGAATGTAATGGATATATAGAGATGAAAAGTAGTTTACATGTAAATTGTCTTAAATCTCTTATACTAGCTACCTCTTCCGTAGTTAGTTTCATTTTAGCTTTGTCCTTTTTCTGATTTTGATAATTTTGCTTGCTTAGCTATACTTGATCTAGTTTAGTTGTGTTTAGTTCTAATTGTCCTCGAATATTAGCCTAACATCTATCTTTCCTGCATGCTCGCGGCCGGTTCGGTTAATCGCGCCGCGCGTCATACGGCAGCGCCCCTCGGTCAGTTGGGCGGGAGGAGGTAACAAACGAGGTACGAGTCCCAAAGTATTCAAATTATTTGTCTTTTACGTGTGCCATATTCGTGCTGAACCCCTCCAGCTGGATACGCTAGCTGATGCCAGGGACTCCCGACAACTTTCTCCAGCAACAACACCACCTACATTCGCAGGTTTGATCTGCAACTACGCAGGTACAACTACTTGTGATCCGGTAACCAGGGACAACTCAAAGTCTTGTGTCGAGTAAGAGAAACTCTATTGCCTGAGTAAATGAAAATATCCCGCGAAGCAGAGGTCGAGTAGCCCATGATGTCAACGGTGGGAACTAGCACACGAATTGTGGTGTCTTAGATATTTCGGGAACAAACATTTCATAGGACTGGGTCGAGCCGTAAGGCTGTCGAGCCACCTAAACACTAAAACCGCTTCTAAAAGGTTATATGGAGATGAAACCCCTTAATATCCCGTCCGAATACCTACTTAATAAGCAAGAACATTTTCATCAGAAATGGTCAAGCGCCATAAAGATTTTACCACAAAAACTATAACCGGTTCGGAAATTGTATATTGTATATACATATTTACATATATCGCATACATGTGGCACACACAATGCATTAAAGTGGGTAAAGGGATAGAAGAATTGAACAAGGATGACAGAAATGTTGAAAAATTAAATTTGAATCAAGCAAACTTCAAATTGAACTTTAATTTTGAGTCAGTTTTTCATTGAAATGTGCACAGAGCACAAAAAACTGTAGCGGAAAAGAAACAAAAAATAAAAAAATTATCCCAGCAAATAACTAAATTTTGTTTAACATTAAAATTTGTAAACTACCAATAAGTATGCCAGTTTACTTAACGAACGAATTAGAACAGAAACTAATCACAATTGAACACTCAGCACTCATCTCTCGATGGATCCAAATTTTCAATGCAAGTACGATAGCGTGATGCAAAAGCTAACGGAAAAAGAACTGGCGGAATACACAAAGAGTTTTGGTCTCTTGATCAAAAATGAGGCAGGTGTAGTCACAATTGACGAGCTGCGAATTATGGTACGCACTTTGGGCGAAAATCCCACGGAAGCGGAGCTCGAGGAGACATTTAAGGCCTCCGATATTGATGGCAATGGCAAGATTGACTTTAAAGAGTTTTGCTTAGTTATGCACCGGTTCGAGAGTGATGAGAAGCGACAGCTGTGCGAGGCATTCAAAATGTTTGATCAGGATGGCGACGGTTACATTGGCGGCGAGGATCTGGTTAATGTGTGGAAGAGCATGAACATCGAACCCAAGAATGTACTCATCGAGAGAATGCTAAAGGCCGGCGATGTCGATGGCGATGGCAAAATCAGTTGCACGGAGTTTGTGACTATGATGCAGAAACCTTTCGGGCAGAAGCAGCTGCCGGATAGAGAAACATCTGCTTAGTGTGGTATTTTGTGGGTAACTAAATCTCTGTCCCTGTGCAACAAAATTCAAAATTTAATTGTAAATGACATAATAATTACTAGTACAAATTTTCAGTGTTATTTTGTTTGGTCTCCCTCTCCACCTCTTCCATGGAGGAGTTTGACTTAAACACTCCGCCGCCGGAGGAACGTGTCAGCCATAGTCACACGCTGACCGAAGAGCAGGCCAAGGATTGCACCGAGGTTTTCAATATGTTTGATCCCGAGAATACGGGCACCCTGCCATTGAAGCAAATAAAGTATCTAATGCGCGCTGTGGCTGTCTTTCCCACGGATCTCGAACTGATGGATATCTATGCGGAAATCGATACAGATGGCTCTGGCGAAATGCTAAGGGATGATTTCCTATACATCATGTGCAAGATGTACAAGCAGATGACACCCGAAGATGAGATTATCGCTGCCTTTAAAGTGTTCGATAAGGAGGACACGGGCGTCATCGCGGAATCAGAATTTCGTCACATAATGACAAATTTGGGTGAGAAAATGTCCGAGGATGAGATCGAGGAGATCATACGTGATGCAGAATCCGATACGGAGGGCAACATCGACTACGTACGCTTTGTGAAAATGATGTCCGAGAAATAAGAACGGGGCAGGCGTTGCCAGAACATCGACACGGCGCGTGTGCGGGGTCAAGAAAATGTAACAGCAGTTTCAAAACTTATTTCGATTCAACAAGGCAGCTAAATTTCATAGGAGTTCTAAATTCAAATTCAAATATATACTAAATTATTAGCAAATAAACATAAAATATCATCAACAATGGGCGAACTTACAGAGGAGCAGATTGCAGAGTTCAAGGAGGCCTTCTCGCTGTTCGACAAGGATGGAAGTGGATCCATTACCACCCGCGAGCTGGGCGTTCTAATGCGCTCCCTGGGACAAAACCCCACCGAGGCCGAGCTGCAGGATCTGGTGAACGAAGTGGACATCGATGGCAATGGCGAGATCGATTTCAACGAATTCTGCTCCATGATGAGCAAGCAGATGCGCGAGACTGACACTGAGGAGGAGATGCGCGAGGCCTTTAAGATCTTTGATCGCGATCTCGATGGCTTCATCTCGCCGGCGGAGCTGCGTTTCGTCATGATCAATTTGGGTGAAAAAGTCACTGATGAGGAAATCGACGAGATGATACGAGAGGCGGACTTTGATGGTGATGGCCTCATAAACTACGAGGAATTCGTTTGGATGATCAGCCAAAAATAGGCACACGCTCAACGACACCCCTATACTTTTTGAAAATATTAAAGCACTAAAGCAAAACTCTGAAATTTCTTTCTGTTCTCTCGAAAGTCTTGCTACTTGTGCAATTTCCACTTGCGGCTTTACTTTAAGCCGCACCTCACTCCAGGATGCAAAAACTTTCTACTTGAAACACTCTCTGTGTGGTTTTAGCCTACTCCTTCATGTTTTCATGCTGCCGGTACTCCTGATTCTGCTTGTGTTCCACCCACATGCGGCACCTTTGTGGCCAGACGAACAATTTTCCTGCTGTTTAAACTCAATTTGCTTATGCCTTAAAATTAAATTTTACTGTGGCCTCAATGGCACCCGAGTTGCTGTTACTTTTACTCATACCCACAGACATCCTATACCCACTTCCATACCCATACACATACACATGGCTGCTCCTGAGGAATGGGGTGGACCGAGCCTTGTGTCTGACTTTATAAATATTTCGCATGCATAAATGTAAGCGATGGATGTCCATACATACATAAAAATGTAAATTTATGTACTTCCCATTTTTCATGCTTCAAGTTTTGGTTTCTGTTTCGGTTTCAGTCGCAGTCTCAGCATATGTCAAAATGCCAACTTTTCTTAATTGAAAGTCCACAAAGCCATTGAAAACAAAAACGAAACCTTAACTTGTGCAAAGTGCATCCCATATATGAAATCAGAACAAAAGCCCAACACCCCAACCCGAAACAGATTTCAATTTCAGATCTATTACCTATTATACACACTCAAGCTACACTTATATACATACCCATGTTTATATGTATTTAAATAGGTGATATTTTATTCGCATCACCACATAGACGAGACAGTTAGCACAGGGCACAGGGCATTATTATTTGATGGACTGACTGCAGCAGGAAATTGATTTTGAATATACTGAGCGAAAAAAGAGCATGGCAACAATCGGAATAGCATGAAATTAGATCCCCCTTTGGTGCTGTTTTGCCCTTAGTGTAAAAAACAATCAAGAATCTTTTGGGTGGTCAGTAAAGCTGAGTAGTTTGATCTTTGAGATATTAAACGTGCATACCCGGTACTCGTAGAGTAAATAAATTATATTGTATTTGTGCACGAAAGAGGATGTATATAACGCACAGAAGGATACGTTTCCGACCTCATAAAGTTTATACATTCTTGATCATCATTAATAGACGGGTCTATAGCTGTCTGTCTGTCTGTCTGTCCGTCTGTCCGTCCGTCCCTCCGTCTTGATGGGCTAGGCTATAAAAGCTAGAGCCAACAACTTTTGCATCCAGATGGCTGGGATATCACACTATTACAAAAGTATTTTAAAATATAGACCTGCCCCCCGTAGTGACGCTTGTTTTTGGGTTAGACTTTTTTTTGTTAGAGGCCGAAACTTTGACTTTCGTAACTTTTTGCTAGCTCCTGTATGGAAATCAGTTGATCGACGGTACAAGGTGGTAGAAGTTCCAGGTGAAAAGAGGTTTATTTGTAATCATGTTAACATTTTGGAAATGGCGTATGTCCCATTTTCGATGTTAACGGGGTGCGCAGGAAGTTCAGCTAATGCCACGGTATTTTCAATTCTGGACGTGAGTCGATAAAGTCGCTTCTCAGACCAAACCCAAGTTTTAGTGCGAAGAGCTTAAACCGCGGCTGAAAATTGTACAAAGATATTCAGAAAATACCTGAAGAGAAATACAGCCGCCGCTGGACCGCTTGGAATATCAAACGAGAAGGGACGTGTGAGACGCTTCTTACGCGTCACAACTTTTATACCCGGCAGTCAGTACTACTTCAGCACCTTAGCGGTTATTTGTCAAATTTTACATTTTTTCTTCATCTGTTATCTACATCTACAACACTTCTCACACCAACACGCTCCCTTAGCTCGCCGCCCTTCCCTAGACACACACACTGCAGACTCGCGGCAGACGCAGTGGCCGCACCAGCAGAAGCAGAGTGTAAATGAGAGAATTTGAAATTGGTTTAGCAACTGAAAATTAACTTCTTCACTTGTGGCTATAATAATGATCCAATCGGATCCCAACTTGTTGATCTGATAGATATGGTCATTCCCTACGGAATGGCGTTTTTACGTTTCTTTTATATTTAAAATTGTAGATTTGGGGGGTTTTCGACCTTTTGAGTGGGCAGAAGGGGGCGGGGCTAACTTTTTAAATACACTTGTAACAGTGTAAGAATACAAAAGTCTGGATGCAAAGCTTGGTTGCTCTATGCTCAAAAGTTATGTATATACCCTATTTACTATTTGAGTAGCTGCCCGGTATGTAAGAGCTACCATACAAAAAAAGAAAATAAAAATTTAGCAGAGCTCGTGAACAATGATGTAACGATTATCTAAACTATAAATTCTAAATACAAAGAAATTTACAATTTTATATACATAATTTATATACATTTATATACAATTGTGCATATATTAACACATACATAGTATTTACATTATACATATAGTCATATTTAAATTATGTACACAAATAAAAAAAAATAGGTACGCGGTGTGTCTATGCAGATTTTAGTGCCATGCTTGGGCATCAAATTTGAGTCAGTTGTCCAAATCTCGATTTGCCGATTGGAGTCGGAGGAAAATGTGCAAGTGTTAATGTGTGTGTACATGTGCAAGGCAGCCGACTTGCCAGCAATAATGTCTCCATGTCCCGTTCCGTCAAAACTCTCTGCTTGTTTACACCGTGACCCTGAATACTCTAATGGAAAATATTTGCAACGCAAAGTCAATTGCCGTAATTCGTTATTTGTATACATATTCAGATGTTTATATCCGTTACTCCTTTCATCCTAAATTATATAAAGCATATAAAGGTCACACAAAATGAATTTATTTTGATATAGAGGGGCAAGCTTCTTCATAAAGTCTTGAGGGTTTTCATTTTGAAGGGTATGTGAGCTCAGAACAAAAAAAAATGCAAAAGGTTTCAAGCGCTAACACTTAAAGCGCATACGACGACGAGAATGTAACGGGTAACCAATTTATAGGCAAGATGTTAATCCTAGTAGAGGTGGAGAACTATCGATAGTGGGCACCATCGATAGTGGACGATAGTAAATTTTAAACCATCGATAGTGGTCGATAGTAGTCGATAGTCGCAATTTTCTCGAAAGTGTTTGAAAAAATACTATTGAAGAGAATGTTGCCAATTTTGGACGAACTTTCCATCATTCCTGAATACCAATTCGGATTCAGGAGGGGTCACGGGACCCCTGAGCAATTTCACAGGGTTATTAATGATATAGTTTCGGCATTTGAAAACAAAAAATACTGCACTGCTGCATTTCTTGATGTTCAACAAGCGTTCGATCGAGTCTGGCACAAAGGTTTGTTGTACAAGATAAAGAAATGGCTACCTGCTCCGTACTATTTATTAATCAATACATATCTGGCTAGAAGAAGTTTTTACGTGCAGCAGAAAACCGATAATTCATCACTACTTCTCATCAACGCAGGCATCCCACAAGGAAGCGTATTGGGACCAATTCTCTACACCCTATATACGGCCGACATGCCAGTTACAAACAACTGCACTTTTAGCCACAAGCACATCTATAAATGAAGCTTCTGAACTCCTGCAGAGTGACCTAAGCCTAATTGAAGACTGTTTCCTTCGATGGAAAATTAGAATAAACTCCCTGAAATCCGTCCAAATGACGTTTTCATTAAGACCAGCTAACTGCCCAAATGTTACACTTAACGGCTCACCAATTCGACAAAGTACCTGTGTGAAGTATCTCGGTTTGCATCTCGACCGCAGATTAACATGGAAAAACCACATTAAAGCAAAATGTCAACAAATTAGACTTAAAACACTAAAAATGTCCTGGTTGATAAGTCGAAAATCAGAAACCACTTTGGAAAAAAAAATTCGCCTCTACAAATCCATACTGAAGCCAGTTTGGACCTACGCTATACAGCTTTGGGGAACTGCTAGCAACTCAAATATTGAGATACTTCAGCGTTACCAATAAAAAACTTTGCGACACATTGTCAATGCTCCGTTTTACGTATCTAATGCAAACATCCACAAAGATCTGAATATTCCAACCATTAAAGAAGAAATAAAGGAAACTAGTAAGAAATACATCGACAGACTCCACAACCACGAAAATAATTTAGCCTTAAGTCTATTAGACAATAGCCTAACAGTAAGAAGACTGAAAAGATACCACATTCTCGATATCCCTGATAGATAAATTTAACAAACTAAAAAGATGTTATATATAATAGCAGGGCTCATTGGAAAACTGCTATTTCTGTTAATTGAATATTAATTATACAATTTACTTATTGTTTAAAAACAGATTGTAAATATAAAGAGAGAGAGAAAGAAAAAAAAAAGGTTTCAAGCGCCAACAATTAAAGCGCACATGAAGTCGAGAACATAACCGACGACGAGAACAAAATTGGAAAGATGTATGTACATATATATACATATGTGTTTACATATATGCTTATATACATATATATGTTTGCTGACCGGGAAGAGCTAAGCCTAGACATTGGGAGGCCATTTAGAGTCAATGACTTAATGGATATCCTACTTAGCTNACTGAGTGCCGGGTATAAAAGTTGTGACGCGTAAGAAGCGTCTCACATGTCCCTTCTCGTTTTTACCAATATCTTTTCTACTACATTTATTTTTGAATCAAAAACTTTGCGACACAATGCTCCGTTTTACGTATCTAATGCAAACATCCACAAAGATCTGAATATTCCAACCATTAAAGAAGAAATAAAGGAAACTAGTAAGAAATACATCGACAGACTCCACAACCACGAAAATAATTTAGCCTTAAGTCTATTAGACAATAGCCTAACAGTAAGAAGACTGAAAAGATACCACATTCTCGATATCCCTGATAGATAAATCCAACAAACTGAAAATATGTTATATATAATAGCAGGGCTCATTGGAAAACTGCTATTTCTGTTAATTGAATATTAATTATACAATTTACTTATTGTTTAAAAACAGATTGTAAATATAAAGAGAGAGAGAAAGAAAAAAAAAAGGTTTCAAGCGCCAACAATTAAAGCGCACATGAAGTCGAGAACATAACCGACGACGAGAACAAAATTGGAAAGATGTATGTACATATATATACATATGTGTTTACATATATGCTTATATACATATATATGTTTGCTGACCGGGAAGAGCTAAGCCTAGACATTGGGAGGCCATTTAGAGTCAATGACTTAATGGATATCCTACTTAGCTCGCAAAACAATTGGGATGCCGTGAGCACCTACGCTGCAGAGATCATCCAATTCTTGCGTCGCGCTGAAAGACAGCGGAATCGAAATTCAAATCCTAGATAGGATCTACTGACGGCTTTCATGCCATCTCCCCCTCGCGAAGTAATACTTAACGGTCGTACCGCGAGACTGATACGGAGAGTAGGGGGGTTTTTAGTGGGTGAGGTAATTCCAAGTCCCACACTTCTCGGCTTTCAATGCTTTTCCCTCCTATACATAAAAAAACAAAAACATTTATATGTTTTTATATTTATCTGAAAAGATTTGTCTGTAAAAGATGGATTTGGTAACAATGTTGATAATACGGCAGCAACGAAGTCGAGAAGCGATGGCGTTTCCATAATATATGCATACAATTTTGAATAAAGCAGTATAAAATCTGCATATAAAACAATTACAGCATACAATTACAATAACAACTTTTATTGGTATATTTATTTTTTCCAACCCCCAAAGGTCCGGCCACCAACCCCACCCCTCATTCTGCACATGTTGCGGTAGGTCAGGTTTATACGCCAAGCCCCGAAAACAAAATCAAATCATCAAAACGAATTTTCGTTCCATCGCAGTTCAGAAAGTCAGCGCACCAACACATACATTACTTGCAGTGTCCGTGTGAATCAAGACAAAACCGGTTTGGAGCGCTAAAAAATCATTGGCTACACGCACTTATACATATGAAGCTGGGACTTCTGGCTGCGTGCTCTACACGAACTTATGCAAATGTAGCTGGGACTTCTAGCTGCGTGTTCTACACGCACTAATAATTGTAGCTGCGACGTTGGCAGAGGCCAAGAAATTAACAATCTACTATACTATTTGGTTAGTGCGGGAAGCAACGACCCGACGAATATAGAGCAAAAGGTGCCAGAATATACGACGGTTCAATCAAATGACCTCGAATGCTTGGAAGTACGAGTGGAGTTGCTAAAGTTGCAGAACGCGATAGAGAGAGGAGGAAGAGAAGCTGCGGGCAGCAGCGGCTGGCAACTTTGAATCGAGCCTGGAGTTGCTAAACTCAGCTAAAGACATGTTGCCAACATACCACGGCAGCACTTCTAGTGTCGACGGTGACGTCACGCCCTGGATCGCACAGTTCAAAGCGACAGCGAAGATAAACAAACTGTCGGACGAAAAATCGCTGATGCTCCTGTTGTCAAAGTTAAAGGACAGTGCCTTAATGTGGCTAAATTCTGAGGAGGAGCACCTAACCATGCCGATTGAGCAGCTGTTGATCCTATTGGAGGATCCATTCCAACACAAGGAGGGCAAACGGGCCCTCCGCCGCAAGTTCGAGGCACGAGAATAGATACGGACGAGGAGTTCGCCCGATACTTTAGCGACAAAATGAGGCTGGCGGCCCGTATTGCCATCGACGTGGAGGAGCTAATCGACGGAATCATTGAGGGCATACCGGATGAGGCATTGCGACGCCAAGCTCACATGCATTGCTTCGTGGCGTCTTATGAATTGCTACGAGCGTTTGGAAAAATCATGCTGCCAAAGAAGTGTACGCAGCCGTCGGCGACGAGCAGCATGGGCGGATCCTCAACACCAATTCGTTGCTACAACTGCAACGTGTGGTGGCACATGGCAGGGGAGTGCCGCAAGCCCAAACGCGAGAAAGGAGCGTGCTACAACTGCGGCAGCACGAATCATCAGGTAGCTCATTGCCACGAGCGGAAAGATAAAACATCATGAATACTTACGAATGTTTAACATTTTCATTAAAAGTAACAGTTACATATGTTTGTCCTTAGATTGCCTCATCGACTCAGGAAGCCCAATAAGTTTCATGAAGATAGCGTACCTCTCACGATTACATGACATTGATCATCAAATAGATTTAAGTTCAAATCACTCCCAGAAACAGAAAATTTTAAGTTTTTATAAAACGGAAAATCGCTGCAAAGTGAAGAAGCCCTCATATGTTTTCAATAAAAGTACGAGCTATGCGTACGTCGGATTAGACAACAGTAAACTTTGCGTTCTCGGGAAAGTAGATGGTTTTGTAATTTCTAACACGGAACAGGTTAATTTTGAACTTTTTTTAGTAGCAAACGAGTCGATGGGCAATGAGGCTGTGTTAGGTTGAGAATTTATGAGACTATGTAAATTCAAGATTGTACGTGACATGATCACAGAGAATAAGATTAAGGAAAAAAGCGAAGCTGATCCCGAAAGGGGAAATATGAAGGAAAATGAGTGCGAAAAAGTGGGCGAGAGGGGAGGAAAAAATGATAGTGAAACAGAACATGAATTTCAAACAGAAAAGGAGTGTGAAACAGAAAATGATTGTCAAATGGAAAAAGAATATGGAACAGAAAATTAGTGTCAAATGGAAAAGAAAGGCGAAATAGAAAATGAGTGTGAAACAGAAAATGAGAGTGAAACAGAAAATGAGAGTGAAACGGAAAAGGAATACGAATCGGAAAATTAGTGTGAGACGGAAAATGAGTGTGAAACGGAAGATGAAGGTGAACTAGAAGAAAAATGGCAAAGAAAGAGCGTGCATCAGCTCAAGATAGAGTTGAGTGGGGAAGCCAGTAATGAACGATCCGGGGCAGTGGCCCTAGTAGAGGGCGACGAAAGGTGTGAGAATTTAGTTGCGAACTTTAGTGTCCTATCAGGCGAATATCCGGCTGCGGTGGATGATTGTGACTTAAAGGTAGGCTCAGACTGTAGTCAAGTGCTGAAAGAGCGGTTTAGATGTTTATTTAAGACAGCGTATGTAGACGTAAACAGAGCGAATGTTCTGGAGACCAAGTGGGAGATGAAATTAAATTTTGAAAACCAAAGGCCGTTTCACTATCCAACTAGAAAACTGT